CTATTAATTAACACTGATCCTGCCAGTTTTTGGAAATTTATAAAGAAACAACGCTATAATTCTAATATTCCGAAAACACTAACGCTTAATGGTGCTTCCAGTTCTAATGAACAGGATGCAGCTGAAATATTCGCCTCAAACTCCAAATCTGTCTAACCTGCAGGTAACCATATAGTTTAATTATGGTTGAAACAGCTACTCTACAGCTAACTTTCATTTAAAAGAGAAAACCCGATATTTTTAATAATAAAAAAATTAAAAATTAAATTTTTTTTTTTTAAAATCTACAAAACATAAATTTAACATCAAATGCACTAAAAAAATATATGAAATTAAATGGAAATTTATTTCTGATATAAGTTATGACATACTCAGAGCAGAATATCAAAGTTCTTATAAAAATATAATCATATCAAAACAGTCATTACCAGAAACATTTACAATTAAAAGAGGAAAAATTGACATTGACATCAAAAACTAATGATGAAAGTACTGTCAATAAGATAAAATGCATATCCTATAAACTTTTTAAAGTATGCTACTAAAATATTCTTATTAAATATAATTCATATATTGATGCACACTATTGCTTGTCAAAAGCATATCAATACTTATAATACTAGTAATACTTTGATATTGTAATGCACTTAAGAATGTATATTGAATATAATTAACTTAATTCAATATTATTTTGTTGAGTTATATCTAAAATAAAAAAACGTTAATATTAATAATTGTTTTCTGATAACAAATGTGAAAAATCATTATCAATATTAAAAGTAATGAAAATCGATTAAAAAATTCATTGGAGGAAGGAAATTTGGTTGCTTTTATAATGATGGCAATCAAAAAAGAGTTATTATGCAGCATTGACAGTGATGATAGATTTATTAAAATCATTAAATCAATTATTAAAAGAAAAACTTTCATATCATATTAGGTAAATATTTTTATATAAAATTAACGATGATTGTTTTAGCGTCAATTTTGACATAACGTCATACTAGGTTACTATAAAGAATGAGTTCGGTGGATATATCAAGGCGTACAACTGTATATCAAAGGAATGCACAAACAATTAGCCGCGGAGAGGGAAACCCGGGCCTGGGGGGGGGTATATCTTAAGGGTCTGATTATTTTTGACTGCCTATCATTATATTTATCAGGTAACTGTTATGATTAAAATAGTATGGGTATAAACCCTACTTATGGGTACCCACTCCTACACACCAAAAAATCATAATTAAACTGCAATATATATATATAGGTATCAGTGGCGTATCAAAGGGAGGCTGAGGGAGTTATAGCCCCCCTCCCCGAAATTTAAAGAAAATTATATTAATGGTCCATAAAAAATCGCTAAAAAAGTAAAAATATTTAAAAATGTTAGCATTAACACTTTACAGCTATCTATCTATGGTAGTTGGTATTTAATGCATATAATACTATGCATCGGTCGCGAATCGCAAATTCAACTTCAGTCTTGTCGGACTCGCATTATTATCTATTCATTAAGACATTGAAATTTCAGATAATCGAATATTTCATACATTTTTTAACAGCGGAAAGGCTTTAAGGTTAAAAAGTAATTAAATAGGAATTGTTAATTATTTTTATTCATCATATTATATTCATGTTTATTAAATAGAGGTTTATTTTATTTTATATAATTTTGGTCTATTATATTATGTCCTATTAAAAAAAAAAAAAAAATTTGTTACTATTTTTATTAATTTTTTTTAATAAGTAATACGTGTAAAATAATTTATTTTATACTACTATAAAATACGATATCCATAGTATTTAAAGTTCACAAGAGTATTATTAAATCAATATATGTTAAGGGTTATAGGAATCAAAATCTAAAATATAACTTTGACATCCACATGTTAAACTTATGGAAGAAGCTATCTAAACCACCGGTGTAAAAAAATTGAAATTGACTTTTTCCCCCGAAGAAAAATCCTGGTTGCGCCACTGATATGTATTTGTAGATATATGATAACATGTGAACTATTAGTATTTACAATATAATAATAAGTTAATTATCATACAATAATAACAATTATCACACATTAAATCACCCACTCACCCACCACTAAAAAATTTTCTGGGATATTTACCACATTTGTCATACCTGTTTGGTGCCACTGTTAGTAGATATCTATATTGTTACGGACATACATACGTAGGTCCTTACAACTCTTAGAGATATATACAATGCAAGTCATTGCATGAAAGCATCATATAATACAGCATGTAATATAATATATATGTCCTTGTGAATATCTAGATTTACAGAGAAGACACATAAAATTAAGTGGTTGTTGTAAAAAGCTGAAACAACATAAAAAACATACTATGTAAGGTATTATAAAATTAGATAGTTGATACTGTTCGAAGGGGATCTGGATATTAACTATATCCGGGTCAATTATCCCATAAGAACGGGGTAAATAAGGTAGTCCGAACAGACCACTATTGAGATGTGTTTTAGTCCAGTCTGAGCAAGCACCTTCACTCCAGTTTTAAATATCAAATCTTGTACTTAGAATAATTTCAATAAAGTGTTTTGAACTCAGAATAATTCGTTAATAAACAGTAAAAATATTCAAAGTCTTTAAATTATTTAATAACATATCCTCAAACATCTACTCTTCACGGTTGATTTGACGGCACGCAACAATATTGTAGTGTTAATAGTACAATAATAATAATAAATTAATAACAATAATATATGTTGTTGACGCTTTGATCATAAAATATAATATCCATATTAAGGAAAAATGTTTTTACATAAATTATGTAAAATATAAAAATATATCGTACTAGGACGTCTAAGCAAAATTGTTTTGCTCTAAGAAAAAAAAATCTAGGCCCTATGAAAAAATTTAGTCCTAACCCTGTAAAACCTCCCCCAACACTGTTGGAAAGCATTAAATACTTAGGCGGGCTGCACACTGAAGAAACTAGTTTTAAGAAACTAATTTCATGAAACCATTTAATTGAAAATCAAATAGACATGCACACCGAGTTTCATGAACAAAAATTTCTCATAGTTGCGCAACCACGGTTTCATGAAACTTGTAATTTTGGTTTCAACAAAGTTTCGTATAAATAATAATAATAATAATATATATTATAATACATTTTGTAAGTACATGTTCATGTTATTTATTTCATTTATTTATCATATTTTAATAAAATATATAAACTATATACTGCAGTATATACAGCATAGTAACAATAGTTATTTTTAACTAGTAACAATAGTAAAATCCTCAAAAAATAGAAACGTTATTGACGTTTTGACCAATATTATCTTTGTTTTTTTTTTATACAAAATATCGTTTGTGATTTTTTCCTCATCGGCGGTTAATTCCTTTGCAACTACATAGCTACTGTGCTGCTTATCTTTTAAAAGTGGATGAATCCAATACCTAAGTTTCCTTTTTTGTTACGAAGCCACCAATATAACAAAAACCCATCCTTATCATCAGACGACATTGTTGAAACTATACATTTTTAATTTCACCGGTGTACGCAAATATGAAATAAGTTTCATCAACCTAGTTTCTTGAAATTGGTTTCTTAAATTGGTTTCTAAAACTATTTTCTTCAGTGTGCAGCACGCCTTATTGAATATATACAAGACTTTAGGTGAATTTAATATCTATATAACATAATAAGTAATTTATGCTTAAAATAACATATAGGTATACATTTTAACCAATGAATCTGTAATTTAATTAATTTTTTAAAAAAAAAAAAAATAATCAATTTATGAATACTTTATCACTAAGGTTAAATTATAAAAGACATTTCTTTAATATTGCCATATTAAAGACTTATGCTAAAAAATACTGAGTATGTACACAGTATATAATTTAGGATAAAAATGTAAAGATTATTACATTCAATATATAGAAACTTCAGTAGAAAGCATTATTTAACAAAGATAAAACATTTAAATTTTAATTATAACCCTAATAATTATTACCAGCACATAATTTGAGAATGTTATTTAAATAATAATTTTGACAAATGACAGAACAAAATGTATGTTAAAAGTTCTTTAATCTTCAGACTTAAAGAATTTTCAACAAAATCAATAATTTAATTTCAATTTTTTTTTTTTTAGTAATTTACCGAAAACAAGGTCAGGCCACAATAATATTAGCATTTAATTTCTAGATGTTAAAAAATAATAACAAATAAGTTAAACTATAACATATATTTTGAAATCCTCATCGTGTAATAAAATTGAAATAAAACAAAATAAATTGTCAACACATTTACATTAATTTATAAGTATATATATACTTAGTATATATATATTATTTAGTATATATATACTTAAACATATGTATACATACATTTTTCTGTATTAAGTATAAGCTATTAACTATAAGCTTATCAACACTATATAATATAATTTATACATAATATTTCATAAATTTGATTTGTATGGACAATTATAAGTTAAAAAAAAATATATTATTATAATATCAGGCCTACCTACCTACAATAAACAATCATTTTTATAATTATATATTATTATACTTTATATTACTTGATAGTTGCTGTATTGTTTTACATAAATATCTTATTTTAATGTTCAACATAAATATAACATTTCATAGTAATTTTATTAACAATAATTCAGCCCTGTTGACGGGTCTACCCTTAAAACAAGTATACATTAAATATTATCAACATTTTATGATGTAAGAACAGAAAAAAAACTCTTCATTCTAGCAGATACATTAATTATTAAATTGTACATAATACATTATATCATGTATATTTAGTGAAAAATAAATATTACACATAATATATCAACTATTTAATTCTGCTCTTGCAAAAACAAATCTTCCAATAAGAAATTTTTATTTTTTGTATGCATAAATATTACGCGAGTTAAAATATATTTTCATGTATACTAAAAATAAATTATACTGATAAATGGAGCCATGATTATTTTTATAAACAAAATATGTTTTATTACATCTGTATTAAAAAAATATAAGTTAAAAAAGGAATAATAAAATAATAAACCAACAAGAGAATTAACAAATTCTTAAAACTTATTCTTGAATGCAATCTCACTTCATTTTTGTGTATTCTATCATGCAACACTTAAAAATGTGATATTTATACAAAAAAAAAAAAAAAACTAATTTACTATGGTAAAACAAATAAAAATATAAATGACACATTTTATGATTACTTTAAAAATAAATAACACAACCGAAGAGATAAGAATGTGTTACTTTCTCAAGACTTTTCATTCACAAATGGAAACATTTGGTAGTTGAACTACTAATAACGTGTTAATCCTAAAGAAGATAAACTTAACATTTATATGACCCCTAATGAGATGAATAACCATTATGATTTAATTTGAATAAACCTGAAAAAAAAATAGTAAGAGTCATTCAATTTTTAATATATTTGCTTATATTTTTAGTGTTTTTTTGTTAGCTAATTTTTTTAACGTTCAGTAACTAATTTAACCATTTTTTTCACATCATAATTGTTAATTATGATAAATAAATTTTATAGAATATCCAATATTAATTACACAAATAAAATTTAATTTAAGTATCTAAGGTGTACATGTTTTAGAAATTACTGATTTTTTAATACAAATTTTTAAATTCACACAAATTGCTTATGTATTTTTTATTTTTAATTTACCCAAAAAAAAAGTTGTAAGGCTGAGTGGGATAAGGTGCCTGTGTTCAAATCCACAGTTGCTGGTTTAAACATGGTCAATGATGGTTTTGCTTTCTGAGCAGAATAACTGTCTTAAGAAAAAAAAAACAGTTACCACCTCGACATCTAATTAAACCAGATTTATTTTACCAACCAAAAATTAAAACAAAAAGGATAAAAAAATAAAAATAAAAAAAGAGTATATTTTTTTTTTACATTTTAGGTCAATTTTTTTCAATTTAATTATTTTAATTTTATGTTTACCTATATTTAATATAATTTACAGTATGAGTTTATGAAGTTTCATTGAAGTCTAATTCGAGCAATTAACGTTTTCAATATATAATGATGCATGATTAATATTTAAATCATACAAATCAACACAACCCCTAAAATGTTATCAACATAAACTGTAATTTATTTAATTTATAATCCTAAATCACTAAATCAAATAATTTTATTTCTAGCTCTTTAAAACCGTAAGTATTATTAACAAGGCATATAAGTTCATGCATTTGCATGTTTTTTTTTCAATGCATTAGAAAATATTCTAATTGGAATACAAATCTGTTTCATAACAATGATAATAAAAATGTAAGGTTTAATAGAACATGTTTTTGCATGTTTTGTGTGTAACGGCATATTTGACATATAGTTAAGTTTTTTGGAGTTATTAGCGCATATTATTTTAAGTAAATTCAACAAAATCGTTTTCTGTGCAAGTATAATGAACTTTATAAAAATTAGATAGTAATAATATATTAATTAAAATAACCAAATCACCTTAACTGTTTCAGCTCTGATGTGTTAAAACATAAAATGGTCACCATAACTAAAATGATTGGCTAGCATTTATTAACATCAGGAGGCGTGGATAGAAATTCATCAGCTCTCTTATGATCATTTAATGCCCTCAAAGTATATGTATCATGAGGTAATTCAGATTTACGTCTCAATAAAGGTTTTTCTTTTCGATTTTTACGATTCTATACAAAAACATAAAATTAATAATAAAAATATTATCATAAATAGAAATACTAATTATAAATTAATTTTACATCTGTATCTATATGATACTTGGTATCCTCTTCTAAGTTTTTCAAATCAATAGTCGGATCTAAATCATTGGTGGGTGATCTTGCAAAGTCAGTATAAAATGACAAATTACTATCAATGGATACAGTAAAGTTAGGATTTCTTTTAGCTAACTCTTCTACTCTATGCCAATTTTCATCTCGTTTTTTTAACTTATCCACTTCACTAAAATTAAATATAATGTATCAAATTTAAAAAAAATAAAAGTAGTTATCATAAATAATATGTATAATATATACTTACGTCTTCCTATCTTCTTTGTATTGTTGCGTGCATGCATGAAATAGTACAGGATTAGTTTCAGTAAATATTTTTAATGCATTATACATAAGACCATGAATATTCCTGAAATAAAAAGAAAAAACCAGTTTTTAAACATATTTACTATTAAATCATTTTTTTTTTATGTTATCATAAATTTTAAGTAAATCAAACTAAATTATTAATTGATTTGTGCACATGATAATGTAGGCAAAATTTTTGGATAAAATTAAAGTACAACAATTTCAAAAACCATAGCAAATTTATTTAAATATTAACACCCACTTTTTTTATATTTTAAATAATATAATTATGTTGTAATAGTACATACTTGTTCCAATGGGTTTTAGAATTTTTATATAATACTGGGAACATAATTGGCAAAATTTCATCAACATTCTCAGACATAAGTGACATAATATAGTCATTGTTCCAAAAGTAAAGTGATCTTTCTGCAACCTAAAATATAAATTTATTTGAATTTCAAAATGTTTAAGTATTAATATATACTTATTTATTCACAGTAAACATAAAAACAATTTTGTGATTATTTCTTTTTTAAAAAATACAATTATATATAATTCAGGCATAATAAATATATGTGATACAAGTTAGAATGCATTTAATTAAATAGTAATAATACAATTATTAAAGTAATAAATAATCTAATTGTTTTTAATAATATAATAAATTTTTTTATTCATAAATCTAAAAATTAAAAATAAATAACTTTGAATTATTATTATTTATTTATTTTCATTTCAAATTTTTTTTTTTATAAATTATTTACACAATTTAGTTATATTATAGAACTTTATTATTGTTATAGGACCAAATTAAAACTTAAAACTAATTAAATAATAATGATAATAAAATTGATTTATATTTAAAAGTTAATAGACATTTTGTTGGACAGCAATGTGCCAATTGAGAATACATGAACAATTTGTACCACTAATCCGTACATGTATAGAGGGATCAATGTATAAAGTGAAGTTCAGAGATGTTGTATCGAAGGACTTCGAGATAATAAAATGGGCTTAGGCAAAGTGATGTCTTGTCTACAGTTCTTTTCAATACAGCATTTGAATCAGTCAAAAGAGAAACCCTAGTTACGACGAGTGGAATTAAAATTGGAATCAACAAGCAACTAGTACTGGCTACTTATACAGTATTATAGTATTAATAGTAGAGAATGAAACAAGTCTAAAGGATACTAAATGTATTTGCTGGAAAAATGGAAAGAGAATTGGATTAACAATAAACGAGGGTAAACCAAAATTCATGGTCATAACTAGGAATAACCATAGAAGACATTTGGATATTGGTGACTATAAATTCGAATGAGTAGATAATTTCAAATACCTGGGAGAGGACATCAGCAAGAATACAAATATCCACGAGGAAATAAAACTTAGATTAGCAGTGGCAAACAGATGGAAGACAAAAATAACTCTTTACAAAGTGCTAGTGAGACCTATTTAATGCCTTGTATGTAGATGGGGTGTGAATCACAAAAAAATCAGATGAACATAAACTAGCGACCTTTGAACAGAAGATATTAAGGAGAATCTATGGACCAAAAATTAATAATGAAGGAGAATATGAAATAAGGACAAACCAGGAGATTCAAGACTTGTATGGAGAAATTAATATCAATGGATTAATAAAAAGTAGTAGACTGAGCTGGGCTGCACATTTGGGAATATTGGAGGGATCATTAGGACTGATTACAAAATGGAATACATACACATAAAGGCCTAGAAGACATCCTAGACAAATATGGAAGAACAGAATAGTCAAGGACTTGAAAGAACTAAGAATAGAGAATGAGGAAGAATTGGTAAAAGACAGAAATCAGTGGAGGCAAGTGGTTTTTGCGGCAATGGGCCTAAATTACCTGCAAAACACTTTGAAAAAGAAGTAAACATTTTTTTAAGTGTGTCATATAATAGGGGTACAGTAAAGTAAACCCATATTGAAATAGTTTCATATCTCAAGACAATGGTATAGCCAAAAAAATAAAATTACAGGAAACCAGGTTCAAACAGGCAAGTTTTTGTTAATGCATAGCTTTTTTTTATTCACTTACCCATTACTCCCAATATAAGTTATTATTATTGATTAATATAAATATTTAAATAATTCAAAATTGTCAATATTTTTTATTTTAAAATTTGAATATTACAAAATTAAACTGAGAGTAATTATTTAAAATTGATTTTTTTTTTATAATTTTTAACGTGATTAATAAAGAGTTAGATAGTATACTTTATTTTAATAATTTTATTTGAAGTTTTAATATATTTTATGTAAATTAAATTGTTATGATTTTTATATTATTAAAATAACAAAAAGAAAAGTATGACCATGTCAAGGAAATCAATGACATATTATTTAAAAGTGTAAAATTGTAAACGACCATCACAATTATAAGTACATACATTTTCATCATTATAGTCAACAATTAATCTATATGAAAAATATAATTTAAATTATGAACAACATTTAAAATACAATAAACAAATAAAATAAATGTAGGCTGTTTACGTGAGAAGGAAAAATGTATTCAAAAATAAAACTTATTTTATTTTTTTTAGTTATATTTATTTGTTGAAAACTTAAAAAAAAAATCAATAATAATAAAATAAAATACCAACGTACTTTGAGACAATAAAGTAGATTACCAAAAATTGATAACTTGAAAACCGATTGGGAGTAATTTTTTACTTATTATATAAGGAATATATATAATGATTAATTGACATTGCTTTTACTTTTTCAGTTTGAAAACCAGTTTTCAATTAAATCAAGGTTGTAATGAAGGGCTTGTTTTGGGATGTTTTACAATAAGATAATAAGGTACAATAAGACTATTATCTTATTGTATATAAAGACTAAGTCTTTATGTTCTTAATTCATAAAATATAAATATTTTATACTTATAAACTAATACATATATTTTTAATGTATTGGTAATCAATAAACATTTACATTGTTATCATAACATTAACAAAATATAGGACCGTACAAAATATTTAAGTAATATAACTATCTTTTCTATTAATTCAAACTATTATTTACTATGGTTAATATTTAGTTTATTTATTCAATTTTTTAATCAAAAAATAAAAATGAGTTATACTGTAGAAACTCATGTACAATTTAATATAATAAATTATAACTATATTGCGGCAGCCTATGATGGGGCGGATTGACGAGTAATAGCGTATGATAGAGAGAAATGGAAGGAGGTAGTTTTGGCGGTAAAGATTTTCGATGGATCGTAAAGCCGGAAAAAAAAAAATTATTACTATATTACTATTAATAAATGCTATTTAATTCTTACTAATTATCTTATAACAGAAAAAATGTTTTAAAAATTACATACTTGAAAATGTTGACTGGAGACACATCTTGCTAATTGATGTATTAATGGTTTTAACACTTTTCGAAATTCCAATGGTTCAATAATGTCCAAAATTTCTTCTAACTCATTGAGAAACATGACCTGCACATATCAAATTTGATGAATATTTACAGTCACAATATATATTTTATACTATATTCTAGTAATATAAATTTTACTTCTTTTGGGGAATGTGTTTTTGGCCAAAATTTTAACAAGCTTCTGATAACTGGCTCCGTAAGAGATGGATCTTTTTCAAGAAACTGTACAATACAATAAGCCAATTGTGGATGATACACTGATAATGATTTCACTTTGTGTAACGGCAATAAAACTTTTAACAAGAATACCTTGTGTTCCTCTTTCAAAGGTAATGCAAAACCATTAACAATACTAATTAACATAAAATGGATAACATTTATATTATAGTGAGTGATTGTATTGAATATATTAATTTTAAATATACCTTCCTAAAATTTCTAAAAGTTCTGCAATGCCATTATGGTGTTCTGTTTCATATATAAAACTAAAAAATAATAAATAAATAAACAAAATAACAAAATCAAGTAAAAACAAAATACAAGCTGTTATCATTTACCTATAAAAAATGTTGTTTATCTGCTTTCGTATGTATGCACGTAAACTTAAAAATTTACCATAAATCCGATGCAATATAGTTTTTAAGAAATCTCTTTCGCGTGGATCTTCAGAATCAAAAAGCTCCAATAACTAAAAAAAAATTAAATTAAAAACATTTCAATAATTAAAAAAAGTTAATTATATATTATATATATTTTATAATAATTAAAATATATCAAAAGAATGATTCAAATTTAACTTTAAGTTTTCAATCATCATTACTTTTGCAAATGAATAAACTATAAATTAACACATATACTATCATATATCTTAATAAATTAACATAAAAATAAACAGTAAAGGAAGAAATCAAAGAACATTGTTAGTTAATATGATTATTGATTTATTATTTAGGTAAATGTTTAACAAGTTTTTTTGAAATTCTTATCTATTTTGAGTCAAAAATTATTATTTGAACATTATACAATCAAAATAGCATTCAATATAATTATGTGAGTAATACTAACACAAATGAGAAGAATTATTATATGTTTATTACCTGGAGAACAAATTTCTGATCAATATAATTTTTTGCTATTGATGGCTGAAAGTCTGGAGACTCTAAGAACCTAAGAAAGAATTCATATACTAATTGTAAATGAGGCCATGCTGCTTCTAAAAGAGGTTCGTCTTCTTCAGGATCAAATTCTGCACCATTAGGATTACTTGATGGAGGTAGACTACGGAATAGATTTACTGCAAACTATAATATCAAAGCACATAGTATCTTATATAAATTTATATTATAATTGTCAAATAAGACTTTAAATGTTTACCATTCTAACAGCTTCAGGATATATAGCTTCAGTAAGCACATTAACATGATTAGATGATAAATAGTCCACCATTTCATGTAATGTTTCTCGCTTGATTTCTTTCCATTTTAGATCTGATTGTGGATCCAAAATAAAGTCAAATAACACACAACACTGTTGCATTTTCTGAATGAGCAATTGTTCTCTTTCAGATGCATTAGCTTCTAAAATAAAAAAATATCAGTATTAGAAAAAATAATTATACAAATAGTTTTGGTTAAATTAAAACCAATAATATTATGTAAAAAAAACAAAATAGGTTAAAATTATACAGTTAATTTAACTAGAATTCAGATAGTGATCCTGCAAGATAAAATGTTATAATAAAATGGTCATACATTTATTTTATTTTACCTCTTAACTGCATTATAAAAAATGATATACCACACCTATTTTAAATTTTTAACACATACCCTTGTTTTTAATATGGTTTTTAAGATTGATTATAAACTAAAATATATAAAATATTTCAATGCGAAAATGAATTATTTTGTGAAAATATACTTGGTTATAAGTTTATGTGATCCAATTCTTCAAGATAATTAAATGGGTTTTAATGTAAACAAATGTTATGCCTCATTGCCAAATAACATAATAATAGTTCTACATAACCACATTCATTGTTAAAGAATACTTTAGGTTTAGAAAATTATAATTAAATACATGTTTGTACAATGATTGTACTTCAATTAAATGTTAAGATATTAATTGCTAAAATGAATAACTTTTGGTAGATATATATCATAAAAGTAAAAACTACAATGATGTATTTTGTCTATATATTGTACATTACTTTTTATTAATTCTTTCTTTTTTTTAGTTAAAATAGAGTTTTGTAAAATAAATTGACACAAAAAACAGTCATAGATATATTATAAGTTATAAAAATGTTTAAATTTTATAGTTGAAAAGTACAAAATAAAATAAAGATCCCCAAAATGATTTAAACTATAATCTCTAAAATTATTCGATTGTATAATAAATTTAGACAAGCTAAAATTTAATTACAATACACAATTAAGTACAAGTATTGATTAAATTATTACTTTTTAAGATTGTAAAAATAATTTAACTAAGTATGAGAGTCAGAATTTACTATTATGTTACTTAAAAATAATGTATTATTTACATTACATTATTGTAGAAAACTTCTTGCATTATAATAGCATAGTAGAAAATTAAATATTATTTTAGCTGTAAATAATTACATTAATTATGCTTAAGATATTGATTAAATTTTATTTAAATTTTTTAATAACTTCGTCATTCACACAAAAAAAATTAATTAAAAATATCTTAACACGTTGATGGACCATATAATAACATAAATAATATAAATAACAAGACCATCCTTAAAACGTCACTTTAGATTACTGCTATAGCAGTGATATTTTTAGTACTGCTATAGCAGTACTGACCTCCGACATCGCATTTTTATTTAAAAAATTACTGCTATAGCAATATTATATTTAAATTTTAACTATTTAATTATAATTACGTTGAAATCTTTGATTTATTATAGGAAATTTATAAAAAGATAGGCATTTATTTGTATTCAAATAAATAAAATCAAATGCAATACAAAAACTTTATTGTATATGTTTATAATATTTATCAATTATTGATATATCGGAATCATAATCAAAATTTTCATCTAACTGATTTATAACAAGTTCTTCTTGCGAATTAATTTTAATGTAAACACTAAACACACTATGTTATACTTCTATGGTGACTGTGAACGTATTAATCTAATAAAAATTACATAATGTCGATATAGTACGTATTGTGTGATATATGTTATCGAAATATAAATTATAACTTATCAGCTGTAGAATAAAAATGGAAAATACGTGTGTATTATAAAAAAGTGTATAAATAAACTAAAAATAGAGTGCCCAATGGCCCGATGAGATGTCCGGGGTCAGTAAACCATCCTCTCTCATAAGAGACCATTGAAAATATCACTGCTAGAACAGTAATGACACTTTTTAGACGGTTTTTTTATTACTGCTGTAGCAGTAATATCGGCAACTGTCCATCAACGTTTTAAACATGAAATATGAATTCTAAATATCATTGAATTAATATTTTGCAAGACAAATAAACTGAACGTACCCATTGTATAGAAATAATTTACCTTTAAATAAATAAAAACGGTTTTAAGATAATATACACACTTTATAGCCATAAAATAATACAATAATTATAGTGCTATAAATAATAAAATATAAAAGATAATTACTCACTAAAAATCAAGCGCTTATCATGATTTTACTTTTATAAATTAAGACAAGACAATAGAATAATTTATATAGTCAAGATTAAACAGAATATTTTATTGATATAAAAAGATAAAAGCATCAAATTGATGCCATCAATGCGTGTTAGATCAATAAGCTATAAAATTAGAAAATAAAGTTGTCAAAATTCATATGAAATTTGACATTATACATATTAAAACTATTTTCATTGAACTCGGCTGGCAGAATATTCAAATATGTTAAAAATAGAAGTGAGTTAGTTAAAATTACAATCTTGAAGTACAAATTGAATGAAAACGGATAAAATACTTGGTTCCGAGAATAGGAAGTTGGTTAAAGTACTAGCGTAATCAGATTTGATTTTTTCAAAATAATACTGACGTCCCGAGCGGGATAATTATTTATGAAACTGACTAATTTTACATAATTTAAGATTTTAAAATACAAATTACTATTAACTTATTACATCAAAGTTTTTATATCGTCTTTTGCGTATATAATAAAAAATATCAATATATTATTAAAGGGAGTTCGCACGTGACAACACTAATGTTTGCTGATATAACGATAACTAGATTCTAGTTATTTCTATCATAGTATATATATATATCACCAGGCTCAAGCAAAAATAAAACAATAGGAAAAATCAAATTTTGCTGTCTCTAAAAAAAAAAGTTGAGCTCTTATTTAATTTAGTCCCTCCCCTATTTTTAATGTGACATACCTACATGAAAAATATTTTTTTTTATTTTTTTTTATTAAAATCTTACAAATAATTAAGTCTTGGTCATAATCTTAAAAAATTAAATAAACTTAATTATATTTAAGATTTACTTTTCATGCTTTTAGTGAAGCATTAAGCTTCTTATAAGTTCATTCATGTTTAACTCTTCAGCAATTTTGCTTTCATTAAAAAGGTTGGCTAATCCTACTAATCGGTCTTTAGATATATTTTATCACAAATAATTTTTAATATTTAAAGTTTTGAGTAAATTATCGACTATTGCAGCAGTTACAAGTTCAATCAATAGATTTATATATTAGTATCACAGTATTTAGTATTTAGTACTTAGTATTCAGAATACATCAGTATTTAGTATCACATAAGTATTAGTTCTATCAACTTGTTTCTACATATTTACTCAAGAAATGATTTCGAATAGGTACCGACAGAAATAAAAAAATGTACGGGTCAATTTTAGAATATCCACCTCTACTAAAGTGCCACTCTAGGCAAGTACCTAGCTCGCTTATACTTTGAGCCGAACCTAAGTATCACGTGTTTTTATGTCGTATCATATTTAATTGTCAACGACAGATACCGTATAAAGATGATCCCACAGTCGAATAAACGACTAGTATAATTTTTGAGCATCCATTTTTTTTTCCAACACGTTTGGTGTAAGTTTTAATACGTACTATCAGTGGCGTAAAAATGGGGGAGGGAGTTTCGAGATAAATCCCCTAATTACAAAAAAAATTTATTTTTAAAATAATTAAAATGAAAAATATGCGCATTATGAAAATGTTAACGTGTATATAAAATGTATTATTTGTCGATTATGATAGAATCATAAGAACATTAAGTTTTCATCAGAAGATATATAAAATAGACATTTGATATTAATATAATATCTGCTCATAATTTAATCCCCTCCATAAGAAAATTGAATGTATGCTAATGCGTAACAAGTGATACTATTTCATTGTCCAGTACTATAGTCACTATATATAAATAAGCCCTCTATTACACCCTATAGTATAGGGTATAAATATAGGGATAGTACATAGTATAAGGAGTTTACACAGAACCACCAATATTTGTCTATAATAATAACAAACATTGGGGAACCTTTTAATTGTATCAAGTTTACCAACTACGTATACATTCTTAAGATTTTTTAAATTCTGTTTTCAGATGTTCTCATAACATTAAAAATGTATGAATAAATATAGTTTCAAAATGTATTGAGTATAGGTAGTGGCACAACTAGGATATATTTTCAAGAAGAGAGAAGATATACATTTTAATTTGGTAAGTGTTTAATGAGAAAAAGGGGAATGGTTGAGTTCACTACATATTTGGTGGGGGGGGGGTAACAACCTCTACCTCCCTTCCAGTTGCACCACTAAGTACTGTCAATGAAATATAAAATAATCACCCGGAAAACATGGAAAACATCAAAATTATAAATATCAAATAAATATAATAAAACCAATATCATTTTTCACTCAGTACCTTATAAAGAGTAACACTATATTGCAAACAAGCAATATAAAATTAAATGTACAAAAGATATATTATATATATGTATATACATGAATATTTCTATTTAATATTTATTATAGAATAATAATGCACTCTGCACAAAAGAAATTAATGAGCACTTAACGTAGAAATGATAAAATAATTTTATTGATAGAAATTATAACCATAAATACAAACAATAATTTATGTTAACGTGTAGTTTTTCTTTTGTAAGATATAAAATCTACAGATGAAACTCAAACTAATTTTTTAGGAGAATACACAATCACCGCGTGTTTAAATTAACTGTCACCTTAATTCACAACATATAAGGCATTTTTATAAGGTCTATTGAAAATACACAAGTCCAAAATCAAATAGCTGGTCAACAAGTTGTACACAAATCACTAAATTTTAATAGTTCAGTGAAGTGCGGACTCACCGTGAAGCCTTGGCAATTGTATTTCTGGATCGCAGTACATAATGATTGGTGACTTATCACGGCCAGCAAGTAGATCCAAACCACTATGAAAGCTTGGACTTTTGGGTAAAAATGAAATGCCGGACTGCAGGTTACCCGCAAGCGCGGCCGTAGTATCGTTGGCAGTTGTGCTCAGCAAGAGCGTACGACCGCCCGCAGATTTGTTCACTACCATAATTACCACGCCACAGGCTCTCAACCATAACACCCATTTAAGATCATTTAGTTTTCATTACTATATAATATTATGCATGTATGCACCACATTCATATAAGACGACATAACACACACCTTGAACTTCGGGTAGGTGTTCTTTATTTGAGTGAGCAATATAAATAAACACAATGGAAATTTTCGTTTATTCCTTCTCTAAATTTAACACGAAAAAATATAAATTAATTTATTCATTGAAACAAATTTTCCATTTTCAGTTGATTGTAGAGTTTAAAAATAGTTTTTACATGTGTTAAAAAAACAACTTCTTAATTAGTGGTTATAAACCATTGTATGTACTTTACAACGTACAGGTAATAAATTATTTGTTTACTTGTTAATTTTAATAATTTAAATACATTTAAAGTAATTTAAAATATTAGAATATGAACATTTAAAAAGAAACTATTGTGATTTATGAATACTATACTGAAAACTAACTATAACAATGATATTTAAATTAACACAGACAAATAATATAAATTAAATATTGTATTTGTAAAAATGTGTATTTAATTTTCATTTATACAAAATACCAAACATTTTTTTTTCTCAGTGAAATTGTGTGATAGAAAACTAAGTGAAAATAAAATAATGGCTGATATAATATCTGTACAAAACTTGATGAAATTCTTTAGAATAAAAGTGACTAGTTGATAATACAGCCGTAAGATATGAAATAGTATTACATTTCCTACAAAGTGGTATGCGTAATATACGTAAATATATTGACTCAAAACAAACTTAAAGAACGTTAATACTAAAGAAAATCCTAGATACTCGAGGTGACAAGTAAGTGTGCAATGAACATAGTATTTATATTTTAAATTAAATCACCATGCATGACGTAGTGAACCCACCCCTAAGACCTTTTGGCATTTAATGAATTTGAAATAAAATGAATTACACCAAATGTTCGTAAACGATACTACAAAATCTCTATATCTGTTTTGTTTATGAAGATAATATTGCAGAAAGATAAGGCTAATGCACTTATTATACTGAAAACATTTATGTTTTAATACGATTACGACAGAAAAATATGCATAATATAAGCACTCTATAATCAACTTCAATATATAATTTATGAAAACATTCCAAAGTGCATACACAGCGCTAGGGTTTCTCGAACAGAGAGTACAAATACGTAGAAACCTCGAAAGTTCGAAGACGATTACGCGTATGTCGAACGAATGGAAATGTTTCAACTTTCTAGCGACTAATGACAATTCACAAAAACATTAAAACTCAAAATATGTACATAGAAACAAGCATGCCCGGGGCATAGCGTATCGGCGACGGTATTTTGCGGACTAGCGCGGCCTCTGTAAGTTTCGGGTTCACGGTGGATCGATGTGGTGACGGATACGTACGTGGGCGAAGGCGGGTAGTAGCGCCAGTAGGACGAGAAAGTGGTGGCTGGATAAGCGCTGAAAGGGTAACCAAGGAAACAGTCGAACACGGCTCGATCGCTAGCGGCGCCTAGACAGTATAGTGCAACGATAGCTACGTGGCCAGATGTCGCTATCGTTTTCACGGGGCACGTGTAAGCTGGCGTAACAAGTGTTGGTCAAGTTCAAGCAGGTTCAATACTGTTTAATGTAAATGGTTGTCCATATATCTTGGATAATGAATGGATAATGATCATTCACAATGAAATGAATAAATGAAACACTAACCAATTTTTTTTTACGCACATTATAATAGAAAGATAACAGAAAAACACAACTATTTTCAAACATATTTTAAAAAAGAAAAAAATATCGAATAATTGTTTTCGAAACTAAACGTTTTGCAAGCTAAATATTTTTCATAAATGAATAGTGCACGTAAATGTAATCACAATTCGAAATACGTAACATTAACTTTTTAACATATTATTGAAATTATATGTAACAATTTTGATAAAAACTGATAAGAAACCGAAATAAATTAATATTAAAAACCAAATAACCTAAAATAACATATGAGAAACTTGAATAGATTATTAGAATAGACTATCGGCAGCGTAACGATATGTATAATATATGATATATGTATGACCGTATACAATTAGCTGCTTCAAAAAATTATAGGCAATACTAAATAGTTATCTCATAATAGCGATGTATTAAATTTTTATATTTAAATATACGATTAAAATAAGATAAAACAGACAGGAAATTTATGCAACAGAATAACGTCGTTTCAATTTTCGATAAAAGGGAAGGTATACATTTCTATCGATCCCTTCAATTAGAAAAATTTGCGCACTTCACTAGCACGTTTAAGCTAATATTTTAGGCTCAAATACATACATTTTATACAAAATTATGTTTATATACCTAAATTTCTTATGAAAAATTATAAATATTGCAGCATACTTAGATCCTAAATTAACTAAAGCTAAAAGGGGGACATCTTTTATTTTCACGTTTGAAAATGAAAATAAAACCATTCGTTTAAATTAATTTTTGCGGCAATATCGCTTTTATAGCAATAGCAAGCAAATCATGTAATATACTACCATCATCGTTTCATTTCAGGTTTTAATTAAATATTTATTTAAACGAAAAAAAAAGTGTTCATTAGACACAGTGGTAATTGGCAAAATAAGAATATTTTTATAATTTAAATAATTTCAGCAAATGCATTAGCTAGGATATTGATTTAAAATTTTGTAAATAGAAAAAAGATAATGGATATTCCATCATCTTTTTTTTTTATTTTGATGATTCATTAAGTTTTTCGCAGATAAGAATTCATATTGAAGTACCAATTAAACTATTAAATTTAAATCTACAAGAGTGATTCAAGAAAGTCATTAAATAGGAACTTTTGAAATTAAAATAATCAGGACTTGAAGATTAGAAAATGATACAAATAAGAATGATAAATGGCCTTGTAATTCATATCAACATTAAGCTTCTACGTCTTTCATTGGAGATAAGAATATACAAAATATACCAACTATGTTTATTCATAGTTTATACTAATCGTTAATTATTACTGTGGCAATAATTATCTAGTACATTGCATTATATCCCTCAAAATAATAAAAATAGGCATGATTTTTCATAACGAACGGCTTATGGCTGAACCGTAATCACCGGCTTTAGACTAATTTTCTTGTCAGAGGCAAATACTCATCTTGCTCACCCCTAAATGTCACCACTAGTGTTACACATACTCGTATTATATGATTAAAAACATATATTACAACATACCTTATAAAGTTTTGATTTTAAGATATTGAAGACATTTCATAGGAAATAATGTAACTTTACTGCATAACATTTTTCCATTATACGAATAAATATAGCTGGAGTCGTTCAGATTCTCAGAAAAACAATTAATTGAAAATGAAATGGTTATTATTTTAAAATACAAGCTATTTTAAACGCAAAAACCATAATAATATAATATAAACACGAAACACTTTAAAATACTATTGTTAATATTAAATTACCTATAATTCAAACAAAATATACTTTTATTAACCTATACATTTAATTTTAAAATTAATAAGATATTAATTAGTCCAACAAATTTTTAAATGTTGTTATTAATTATCATTGCAAAAATTTATTTATGAATTTCTTCGTCATTTTAAAGATAATCATAGTCAAAAATTATGAATAACATGTTATATATCTATATATAAATATAAAAAAAGTATTTTGAATAATTTTTATTTTAATAATTGGTTATTTGCCATATTATATGAACATAATATAGGCCTATACTCTACGCAGGCACCTATATGAAACATAATTTTTAGACAGTAGACATACAAACTAAAAATATATTTTATTATTTTGAGTCATATACTTATGCATTCATAAGTTTATGAAAATGTCTAATTATTGTTAAATATTTATAGTATTTGTAGTTTTTGCTTTTAAACCACGTAATTTTAATATAAAATTTGTTTTTATTTTAAGATAACATAATTAGCATTAGGTATTTGGTATAATGTGGTAAGGAAGTGATCATAATTATTTCACTCGGACAATTGTTGATGAGTGCATTTCTTTTATATACTATACATTTATATAAAGCGTATACAAGTTATACTCATTGCTCAAATGCAGTGGCGGATCCAGGATTTTCTTTTACGGAGGGGGTGTGGCATATTGAAAAATATTTTCCCTTGTTAATGAAAATTATTGATTTTTAATACATTTATTTCCTGATTTGGGGGGGGGTAACCCCCAACCACCCCCTGGATCCACCACTGCTCAAATGTATTTCTTGAGACATCCGTTAGTTGCAATGTTTATTAATTATTAAAACTTAATTAACATTACAATAATTACTTTGTAGACGGAAAAAACAACTTAATGCTATGAATTATAAAAGGCTTAATGTTTAAATAAAAATCTGATTGACAAAAATAATGATACACTAAGTAAACGTGTGCTTTAATTTTTTGGCTTTAAATTTTTAAAAATATATAATATATACATACCATTGAGTAATTGCAGAACTTGTAGTTCACGATTGGTAGTTACAGTATTAAAACGCGAAGAATTTTGTCTTTTCTCTCTTTTAATTGTGATTGGGCCTAACTTAAGTTTGTTTATTTGTGTGGGCGGAGGACTAGGAGCAGCACTAGAATGACCAGTAGAAGTGCCATCTTGTACCTAGAAAGTTCATAATATAAATAATAGATATATAAACAAATTAAATTTATACAAATGAACAACAAAATATGTTTACATTATAAATGTAACTAGAAGGTTATGAGCCTATCAAACATTCCTCATAGTATTTCCAAAATTAAAAAAAAAAAAAAACATAATTTAAGATGATGGAGGAGCTATAGTTTTTCAATATTTAATACTTAGTTATAATGTTAGCTGATGCCCGATATGGAAGTTGAGTCTAGGAGTCATCAAATTACAAAATAATGATAATTTAGAAAACGATTATATGCATTTACAAATATTGAACAATTTGAAATTATAAAAGAACATCCTAATTCAAAACATTCTTGGTATTTTAAAGACGTGTAAATATAGTAAAAAAATATAATTCGGTGGTAATTTACAGTTTGAAAAAATTTAAAATTTCTTGTGATTCTTGACTTTTTTTAATTTGTAAATTAAATTACAAATTGTTATTTATACTTAAATTTAAAAAATTTTAAATTTTTAATATTGGAGAAAAAGTTTTATGGCTTTTAATTATAATTGTAAGAATATAAAAATTCGATATAATACAATACATTTTTAGATTATAAAAATGGTAATGCAAATCTTATAAAATAAAAACAGGAGTCCTATATTTTATAGACAACAAGTTTAAACATATTTTACATAATCACGTATCATCATTCAGTTTTATAGTTTTTTATAAATAATAGTTATATTGGTAAATTATATGACTCTTGACATTAATAATTTTTTTTTTGTAAAAGATATATGATTCTGTGACGAACATTAAAATTAATCTTAAAAATTATACTACGCATGTACGAGTAAGGGTGTCACAAATTTAAAAATGATGACGAAATCCTGAATCAAATATTTAATTTTACCAATGACAGCAAACACATAACATGCAATACATTTATTATTATTTATTTTTATTTTTTAATAATTGTATTTATCATATTATTTATTTATAGTTTTTATAATTTATATTTAAATATAAATTGTCTGATTTCTGTTATATTGCCTCCCAAACAATAAATACAAATAAAAGTTAAATACAGTACATATTTTTGATATATGATATGCTAATATTAAAAGCAATTAAGGATTAGCAGTTTATGGAATTAGCCCAATTCATATAACATTCAATTAACATAATACTCAATAATGACAATAATTTTGTATGGATAGTTTAAAAAAATATTAACCTTATTATATAGTATAATTATGATAATATATGCAAATGTTAAAATAAGTAACAAAAATATTATATATAGGTACATGCAAATATTTAAAAAATATGTATTCAATAAATTATTGAAAAATTTATTGTTTTAACAAAATGTATTAAAATAATTATATTTAGTATCAAAATTATATAAAGATACTGAAGGTCAAAACTTGTGTCCTTCAAAAGAAAAAAAAAATGTAGCATACTTTAAAAAAGTAGCTACTTTACCTAGCGATTACATTTATATATTATTTATTATTATATTAAGCATAGTTTCATATCAAATTTCAAGAACTTTTAAAATATTATTTAAAATTTCTAAAGTAATAAATTAAATCACAATCATTTTGAAAATTACTTTGTCAATTATGTTAAAAATGGTAATTAAACATTAATTACTCATGATTAATGACATATAATATTACACATATATACCCATTGTATAAGCAGTCTTATCATAAT